CCACTGGAGGCACCCCTGAGGCGTCGCCTGCAGGTTTGTTCATCAAGCCTTGTCAGCCTCTGCCCCTCGTCAGGTTTGGATGCACGGTGGTGGAATGCTTGTAGTAGCTCAGTTCGACCTTTGATTGATCATGGCATTAGTGAAGTCCAACTTGTGGTGCTGTTTTGGCACGACCTGCAGCGTGTGATCGGCGTAATCGTCGCTTCGGCTCACGCCTCCTTGAATGCTCGCAGCGCTTTGTTCAGGCGACTCCGGTGCCATGCGCCGTTGTCTTCCATTACAATTCAATAATATGACATTGATATGGCGTCCTGAGGCCACTTCAAAGGTTGTGCTAATTTTTCCCAACGCCTCCTTGTGCCGTGAGTCTGGGGCCGAGTAATCAATGCCAAGGATGAGCTCCTCCAAGGATGAGCTCCTTGGCTGTCGCCGCAGCAGGTTGTCGGACGCCGCTTTTAACCTGGTGAAAAATATTTTACCTGAACTCAGATTAACACAGCGCTTGAAGCATGGAGACGCCGCTTTGTGGAGGTCGTAATCGGTGACAGAAGCCGATGAGTCAATCAAAAGGTATTCCCAGCGCGAGAAGGTCGTCAACACAGACACGGCCCATCCCCGAAAACGTTCACGTCTGGTTCGAAGCCTAATATTCTTGCTCTTCGCACTCCACAAAATCTCCCCGGCACCTTACACGTGCGTGGGCCCGGCCGTGGTTCAAGGGCAACAGGCACAAGTGGCTTGGGGTGCATCACATTGACATATGAGACGCGCATGGCTACTCCCCGCACTTGCCTGGTTCCACTCCCTTGCATCTCCCTCACTTACGCATGGTGTCGCCCTGCTGCCCGCCCCGCCCGCCCCGCTCCCCACCTGCCCCTGGTCCTGCTCGTGGCACACAATCAGATAGAAGTGTTCCACCTTCTACTATGGCTCGTACGCGATTCATGGCCATGGTCGCCCTCACCTTGTTCGCCCTGGCCACACCAACCCTGGCGGGCCGCGGCTTGAAGCAGCTTGCAAGCTCTCCGCTCCTGGGCCTGAATGGCATTACCTCCAACTTGCCCGTGAACGGCAACACTCTGCTCGCAAACGCCGGCAGCCCTCTGGGCCCCTTGGACTTTGGTCCCATCATCTTGGGTGGTGGTCCTGGTGTCACGAACACTGGCAATGCATTGATCACTGGCCTCTTTGGCGGATCGCCCACCCCCCTGCCATCGCCGACCACCCTGGGCGGCGTGCTCGGGCCCGTTACCGGCGCCCTGACCAGCGGCTTGAATAGCATCACCTCCAACTTGCCCGTCAACGGCAACACTCTGATCAAGAACGTCGGCGGCGCAGTGGACTTTGGTCCCGACATCTTGGGCGGTGGTCCGGTTGTCACAAACACTGGCAATTTATTGATCACTGGCCTCCTTGGCGGAAGGTGATCGCTCACGACTTTGAACCCACCTCTTTCTTATGCTGGCGGCCCGCAATTGCGCGTGGCGCTGCAGATGTTGATTTGGTGTGCTGCATCCCCGCATGCATGTTTGCTTGCCTGCTTTAATGAACGGCTTTGACCATGTTGGCTGCTTCAATAATGCATGATGAGTCAGCCGCTGGCATTTGATTGGATGGGTTTGATGTGATAATTTGACGCATCAACAGTATTAACGTGCACTTTTCGATGCAACCTGATTTTACTGCGCGCATGCCCCACACTCGTAAACTAGCGCTTTGGAGCGCCGCCCCAGGGGCGCGCCCCGAAGGCGGCCGCGCGTGCCATGGTTTGATGTAGCGAGGCGAGACTGCGCTGCTGTAGGGATTGATGTCCCCATTCATCATACTCCCTAGACGGTCGCTGTTCTAACCGCCCCGCTTGGAAGGAGGCTTGCTCATATCTCCTGCTGAGGAGGCGTGCGTGTGCCCTCTAGCTGATTCCCGACTTGACCGCACCTGCTCACACCTCTGGCCTTCAAGGTTGTGGGCGTCAACCCTTTGGGAAGCCAGGGGTTCTCCCCTCGCTGCTGGAAAATTGTGATGTAATGTACTTGTTCAATGCATCAATCACTTGCTCCGCGGACCGGCCGGTGTGGATGTCCTTCACCCAGGCTTGAACCCAACTCTGGTGTGCCTAGCCTGCAGGCCCCCGGCTAGCAGCGCTGCAGGGCGTCTGCCCAAATCTCCGATCAGCTTCACTTCCCATCAGCATGTCTCATGATCACGCTGAATGTGATCTATTCTATGATGTAGGCCGTCCAAACAAACGTCGCATGTTGTGCGCACAGCACACATCCTGTATACTGTACGTGAAGCACTTTGGCGCAGCCCAAGTGTCAGCCGTGTACAGTATTGCAAGCTAGCAGCAGCGTAGCCAGTGTGGAGCAGCATAAAAATGGAATTCGGAACCCAATGGATGGGGTGTGGATTGTCGTCTAGCTCCTGCTTCGCTGCGGCGCTTTGCGTGCTTATTGCGTGGTCCGGGGGCCCATCTACACGCCGGCAGCGCGCGCAAGCCCCCATCCCTAGAATAGGCTTCAGCTGTGTGCGCCACTGTTTGGCATGTGCGAGCGTGGTGCACGACGTGCATATCACGAGAGCCCTGTCCCAAGCTTCTGACCCGGTTGGAATCTGCATTATTCCAGGTCAGCAACCCCAAGCACCAGCAACCAACAAGCGACCAAACATGTTGCTTGCCCCCCCCCCCCCTGCAGGCAGCCCCTACGCCCAACACGCCATGCGTGGGGGATCTGTGCGGACCAGCTGCTGATAGTTCTTCGTGTGGTACACACTCCGCCCGTTGAAAGAACAGTGCAGATACCGAAGGTGGCAGCAAGGGGCTGCTTCGGGACCCAGGTTCACCGCCACTCACACCTGACACCTCCCGCCCGAACAAACTCACAAATACAGTACCAAGCAGCGCTTGCTCAGCGTGGCGCTACTAGTGGACGTGACGCGTGCAGCCCATTGAACCTGGCTCGTCAGATATTCGTAGAATGTGGGTCAGCGCACCCAGCTCCGGTACTCATATTGGGGTTGGCAGGGGTGCCGCCTAGAGACCCAAGCAAGGTCGATCATCCTGACCGCCACCACAACCCAGCGCGTCACTCTATGTGCGTCTTGATGAATGTACACGCTCAGCGCTGAGACATCGAAATCAGGCCGATTGCTTCCTGTAAAACAAGGAGCTGCTCCTGACCAAGCAGAAGCACCTGCCCAATGCTGGTTGCACGGACGATGGTGGAATGCATAAAACAGGTGAACGTGAGCTTGAATCAAACACTGCAGCACTGAGAATTCGGTGCTTGCGGCACAGTCTGCATGCAGCGCGTAAGCGCAACCGTCGCTTCGGCTCACGCCTGCTTGGCTGCACGTGGCGCTTTGATTAGGTGACTCCCGCGCCATGTTCCGATGTCTTCCTGTATCAGTTTGACAATGTGACCATCACTTGGAGTCCTGAGGCGACTTCATATGTGGGGCTAATCGCTCCCAATGCCTCTTTGTGTCGTGAGAGGGGCCGACAGTGATATGATAATCAGTGCAAAGCCTCATCCAAACACGGGCACCTTTGCTGCTCCCGCAGCAGCCAGCCGCACGCCGGGTTCGGCCTTGTGAAAAGAAACAAAGCACCTGAGTGCGAAAACACACAAGATTTTGATCATGGAGGCGCCGCTTTGTGGCGGTCATAACCCGGGGCAGAAGAAGTCCCCGATGAGTCAACCAATGAGTATCCCCGGCGCGAGAAGGTCGGTCACCAACATATGGAACACAAAAGGTTCGCACTAGTCTGCTTTGTTATTCAAAGGCTTGGTTCTACTCCTTCGCTGACTCCGGGAGACAAGCCCCACTCGCACAGTCTACCACGTGGGTGCACGCGGCCGCATATATGCGGGAAATGAGCCTTGAATGCCTTGGCACCCGCAACACGCACGGCCACTCCACACTTGGCTGGCTCCAGTCCCTTACCTCACCGTCACTGATGCCAGCTCGCACAACCTAATCCCCGCCCCTCCCCCCCCCCCCC